AAAATGATTAAAATACAGTTAAAATACAATTAAAATACAATTAAAATTGCCATCATTAAGACCCACAGTTAATGTTATTTCAATTAGAAGCCTTCTGGAACAGGAAGGTTTTGACCTGGCGTCGAAATATCATCAGTGTCGGCGCCAGGCGAATTTCAGTTGGGAGGGCGTTCCATAGTCTGGGGGCAGCTGCCGAAAAGGCCCTTTGTCTACAAGCCGTCCCTCTTACCTCCTTGAGGGACGGCTCTTTCAAAAGGGCCCCCTGGCTAGATCTTAACAGCCGGGTAGGCTTATATGGAAGGAGGCGGTCCTTCAAGTATCCAGGGCCCAAGCCGTTTAGGGCTTTATATGTCAAAACAAGCACTTTGAATTGGGCTCGGGCAGCAACTGGTAACCAATGTAAATTGAACAGAATTGGCTTGATGTGATCTCTAGCGGCTCCACCACTCACCAGCCGCGCAGCTCGATTCTGGACCAGTTGCAGTCGCCGGACCGTCTTCAAAGGCAGCCCCACGTAAAGCGCATTGCAGTAATCTATACGGGATGTTACCAGTGCATGTGTAACTGTCATGAGACTCCGCTCGTCCAGGTAGGGCCGTAGCTGGTATAGTTTCCGCAGCTGGAGGAAGGCGCCCCTGGCCACCGAGTCCACCTGGGCTTCCAGTGTTAGACTGGGGTCCAGGAGCACCCCCAAGCTGCGGACCCTGTCCCTTAGGGGGAGTGTAACCCCATTCAGGACAGGGAAGTGGCCCTCCAACCTGTCCGGCGAAGCACCCACTAACAGCACTTCCGTCTTGTCTGGATTGAGTTTCAATTTATTTACCCTCATCCAGTCCATTATCAGGTCCAGACACGAGTTCAGCACAGAAACCGCCTCACCTGGATTGGTGGAAAACGAGAGGTAGAGCTGAGTGTCGTCAGCATATTGCTGACTCCTCAGCCCAAACCTCCTGATGACCTTTCCCAGCGGTTTCATGTAGATGTTAAACAGCATGGGGGACAGTATCGAGCCCTGAGGAACCCCATGACATAAATGCCATGGGGCAGAGCAACTGTCCCCCAGCACCACCCTCTGGATACGGTCAGCTAGGAAGGAGCGGAACCACCGTAAAACAGTGCCCCCAACTCCTAACCCAGCCAGCCTATCCAGAAGGACACCATGGTCGATGGTGTCGAAAGCCGCTGAGAGGTCCAGGAGTATCAACAGGGTCACACTCCCCCTGTCTCTCTCCCGGCAAAGGTCATCATACAGGGCGACCAAGGCAGTCTCTGTACCAAAACCCGGCCTGAAACCCGATTGAAATGGATCCAGAAAATCCGTTTCATCCTGCAGCGCCTGGAGTTGCCCGGCCACAACCCGCTCCAACACCTTGCCCAAATAAGGGAGGTTCGCCACTGGTCGGTAGTTAACCACCAGCCTTGGGTCCAGGTTAGGCTTTTTAAGGAGTGGTCGAATCACCGCCTCTTTCAAGGCGGTAGGGACCACTCCCTCTCTCCCTTGCCCACCTGCAAATGTGCGGGAGCACACCACACCCTCTGTACATGTGGGGGGGGACACCTGTCTCCGCGGCCCGGTCCTGCGAAGCCCATGGACCAGGGGTTGGAGACCCTTGGTCTAGGCTATAAGAAGATTGCCAGCACCCTCAAAAGTTCTGGAAAATAATGGTGGCCACACAAAATATTGACACTTTGTGCCCAGTTTGGACATTGTCACTTAGGGGTGTACTCACTTTTATTGCCAGCAGTTTAGACATTAATGGCTGTGTGTTGCATTATTTTGAGGACACAGCACATTTACGCTGTTATACAAGCTATATACTCACTGCTTTACATTGTAGCCAAGTGTCATTTCTTCAATGTTGTGACATGAAAAGGTATACTAAAATATTTATGAAATGTGAGGGGGTGTACTCACTTCTGTGATATACTTTATATATGATAGTCATATAGTCTCATTCTTACGTCTGAGGATATAGACTTCATTCATGAAAGCTCACACTGAAATACCGCAGATACTTTTTAAGATACCACAACATTTTTGTCTCTTGGTTTTTGTTTTTGATTTGGTTTGTTGTCAATGTACTTTTTCAGTCTGTCTGCTTTGGAGTGTGAGAAAAAAATGTTCACTGTGTACTTTGGGTGGCATCTAGTACCTGATTACGGAAGGTGCATCTCTGTTCTGTGCTCCTTTCCTGTAGTAAGAACTTTAAATTTTCTGTCCAGAATTGAAGTTCAGTTTTGATTTATTCATGGATTTTCCATAATTCATAAACAACTTGACAACCTCAGTACAATATTCTGCATAGAAAATTACCATATTAAGGTAAACAGAATTAAGTGGTTATGGGCATTTACGTTTTCCTTCTTTTTCCTTGCTCAACAGCAACAGCAGGAGATTCTTGCGATGAAACATCAGCAGGAACTATTGGAACACCAGAGAAAGTTAGAACAACATCGACAGGAGCAAGAATTAGAGAAACAGCATAGAGAACAGAAACTACAGCAGCTTAAAAACAAAGAGAAAGGAAAAGAAAGTGAGTATGAGAATATAGATGTCACTGATGTGTATAGGGTATTATAACCCTATACACTAACTATAAGTCCCAGTATATCCTATCTCTCCCAGACTGGTGCCAAAGTTTTGTACTAGTTTTGTGCCATTTTGCTCCACAGGCCCTGTGTTTTGTATTCCTGCACAGCAGTGCATGCACAAACCATACATGTGAGTGGGACATACTTAACACTAGAATCCCATATCTCTCTATTTTCTTTTGCCAAAGGTAAAGGTAAAGGTTCCCCTTGACATTTTAGTCCAGTCGTGTTCGACTCTAGGGGGCAGTGCTCATCCTGTTTTCAAGCATGGAGCCAGCTCTTATCCGAAGACAGTTTCCATTGTCACGTGGCCAGGGTTTTGAACTGCTAGGTTGGTGAGGAGCTAGGACAAAATGACAGGAGTTCACTCCGTCGCGTGGATTTGATCTTACAACTGCTGGTCTTCTGGCCCTGCAGCAGAGACTTCTGTGGTTTAACCTGCAGTGCCACCACGTCCCTTCTTTGCCAAAGTGTTGTTCTATTTTTTTACTGTTTTATTCTGTAAATCTGAGTGTTGTACCCTAGATAATTAGAAGATACAGTAAATTAATTTCCATGTGGAATTTTTTTCTGTATACTATATTCCAGCAGGTGTCAAATCCTCTTCTTGCCCACATGTGAGAATGATTTCTTGTTCTTCAGGTCATATTCTTCCCAGGTGCCATTTTTTCTTTTGGCAGTGTGCAACGCTTAGTGGTGCTTAGTGTAATAAATCTCACTGGAATAGACCTGTTGAATCCATGAGGATTTAGTGTGTGTCAACATCTCCACAAGTTTCAGTGATTTGAATGGGCATGCTCTAACTGCAAGTTACTGTACTATAGTAACTCCCGGTTAAAATAGGCCCATTTGAATCAATGGAACTTACAGAGGACTTGATTCACTGCATTATCATTGATTCAATTGGCCTACGCTGGTGTGATTGACTGTGCTAACAGGGTTTGGCCATAATGTCCATTACTATTCTCTCTCCAATAGTTAGCTAAGAATTTAATTTGATGCACTTTTGCAGTCTGACTGATTCAGATAGCAGACACTGGCCACACATAGTCACCCATCCACATTCGTACCCTGAGTAGTTCAGCTCAACAACCATGTTGGTACGTTCCTGCTGCTACAAAACTGTGTAGCAAAACTTCTATTTTTCTGGTTTATTTCATCCTGTTGTGGGATTGTGCCCTTTGAACCTGTGTACACTGTGTTGTGGAGGTATACAAAACATGATGCAAAACTGGTATAAAACTTTGGTTTGGAGGAGAAAGGATTTTTTTGGTATTTGTTATTAATACAGATTCATAAGGAGAGCCATTATATTATTATAAAAATACAGTTCTAGTAGGAAGGGCTGCAATCGATGAGTGCCTTCAAGAACAGTGCATGATAATTTTGTGTTGACTCCTAATGTGATTTAAAATGTAATATTTAAAGTTTTAGTTGATGCTGCATTTGAAATATTTTTTAAATTATGGTTGCAGTCCTGTTTTTTCTAAAGATAGATGGTTTGTTAATTTAACATATCACATTTATGTGAAGATATCTGCAAAACTGGATGGTGACTTTTTATACTATACATCACTGTTATTATTTGAGCATTGTTTCTCTCCCTGATTGTACATATGCATTAATAAACAACAACTAACACAATGGGAATGTTGAGGTTTGTACACATTTCCTTATACTATTCTCTCCCCTGCTTTCTATTTGGTCTAAATTTTGAGCTTGAGTTGTTCATTTTACAAGCTTATGAGCAGAGCGTCATTGGTGAAGATAATTTTGTGACATCACTGCATAATGTTTGTATTCCCATGCACATCTGCCAAGGATGCTTATACAGAGCCCATCAAACCCTTTAGAAATCTCTTTTTGATACCTCCATTGATGGGCAGTATTATTAAGACTGGGCTGTTTGTGTTGTTAGTATTTTAATGGGGCATATAACTGCAGTATATAGTTTTTTAAATTGCAATGCTCTATATTTTTTTAACTTGAACTGTATTCAGCAACATCTCTGATGTTGGTGATTTGGAAAACATTCTTGAAATGGAAAGGACAAGTACATCACTTTCTCTCCCCCCACCACCCCAATTTTCTTTATATTTCAGCTGATGCTCCATTGTAAATGGGACTAAATTATGTAAAATCTGAATACTTTGAATTAACTAGATGCTGCATCTGAATTGGAGACAGTGTTTATGTACTGTACGGGCTAACCAAACTGCTTTCAGTGAGTGATTTCAGCAGTATGTAATATATGACAGTACCAGCCATGTGGTTGCCTCTAATAGACCGTACTTTGGTGATTGGTGCTGCTGCTACTGTGGTTGTTGTTAACAGATTAGATTTCTTGGATTTTTTGGGTAATATTTCAGATACAGTTATTGTGGAAGGCAGGTTTGAATGGAGGCTTCCATGTCTGTCCAAAGGGGGATGCCTTTAAAAAGGGGGGAAAGTACTAAAATACACAAAATAGAACAAAAAGTCTGGTGTGGAAAAAAAATAATAGATGTTGTTAGCTTTTAAGTCAGCCCTTCTTCACAAGCTGAAATGTTTGGAAAACTGAACCACCAAACTTGCCGGATTTCACTGTGCTCTCCTTATGAAAATGTGCTCAAACTGTTATGAGAGTATCTTTCCAGTGGCATAGCAGAAAATATGTCAGAAATTCTGATAAAATTATTTTTATTAATGGGAATGAGCAGTGATAAGACTTAGGCCTAGGTGTTCCTTGGATTATTTCCTTGGTCCTCAAGAGGAGATTAGAACCCTCTGTTTCTGGTTTGTGGCAAACCATAATTTCCTGTTTCAACTAAAAGTACAGTAGCAGGCAATAGTAAGTTGTTGGATTGATTAATCTAGGCAACTATACAAGACAAAATCACAATTTTAACACAACAGTGTTCTACATCTGTATGCAGAAGCAAATACGTATTATTGAGTTCAGTGAGACTTTCAGATAAGTAGGTATCAAATTCTTGCTAAAACAGTGAATTTGAAGTTAATATCACATTTGGAATCTCAACGATCCTAATGAAAGAATTAGAGCAAATAGATATTTTGCCTAACACATTTGCAGACCATAATCCCATTTCATTATAATTGGGTAGGAAATAAAGAGAATTTATTTGGAGGCTCAATACTTCACATTTAAAAAATGAGGAGTTTATCAAGCAAATAAAAGGAGACATGGACTTCTTCAAACAGAACATGAGGGTTGAAACACAGATGACAATGTTTTGGAAGGCAAATAAGGCATTTTTTAGAGGAGCAGCCATAAGATTTGCATCAAAAAAAAAAGAAAGAAAGAAAGAAAGAAAGACAGAAAAAAATACAGTATAAGATTTTGGAAAATAGATTAGCCTCAGATGAAATACAGCTGAAACAAAATCCATCAAACACAGAACTGAAAGAGAAAATGAAATTAGTACAACACCAGATAAATATATTGCTCATTGAGGAGACTGCAAAGAAGTTGAAATTTGGAAAACAATTTTTTGAAAATGCAAACAAACCATGGAGATGGTTAGCATATAAATTAAGGAAAGAGGAAGATAAAACAACAATAGAAACACTGAAAGATGAAATAGAGACTGAGAAATTTAAGCAAGAAGAAATAAAAAATATTGCACAGGACTTCTACCAAAATTTATACAGCAAAAAGGAAGTAGACAAAGAATCTCAGAAAGAATATGTACCGAAATACAATAAAATGAAACTGACTAAAGATCAAATACAGTCTTTAAATGAGCCTTTAACATGTGTGGGAATTATAGAAACCCTCAAAAAGAAAAAGAAAAAAGGAAATCACCAGGCCCAGATGGTCTTCCAGCTGAACATTACAAAAAACTGGAAGATGTATTGCTTAAACCATACAAGAAAGGTTTGGAATTTGTTGAAGAAAAGGGAGAATTGCCGCCAACGTAATCCAAAGCGACAACACAGAGGGTAAATAAATAAAAAATTATAGACCAATCTCATTACTAAAAGTGGATTACAAAATATATGCAACCATGTTGGCAACTAGATTGAAAAGAATCTTAATACAGACAATACACCAAGACCAATCAGGCTTCCTCCCAAAAAGGTAGATGAAAAAATAACATAGGGATAATCTTAAATACTTTGGAATATTATGAAGCTCACCCAGAAAAGCAAATGGCTATGATATTCCTGGATGAAGAGAAAGCTTTTGATAATCTGAACTGGAATTTTATGCTACAGCAATTGGAGGTTTTACAAGTTGGAGAAAGATTTTTGAAATTAATTAAAGTAATCTATGCCCAGCAAAAGGCTAAAGTTAGAATTAAGGGAGAGCTGATGAAAGAAATACAAATACAGAAAGGTACAAGAGAGGGGTGCCCACACTCTCCACTACTATTCATTCTTACTCTGGAAATATTAACTGAGCAAATTAGAGATAAAATGGAAATAAAAGGATTGAAAGTAAGAGGACATACTTTTAAGCTCCAAGCTTTTGCAGATGACCTAGTTATTATATTGGAGGATCCAGTGGATTCAATTGAAGACCTGATGGAGATGGTGACGAATTTTAGTGATATGGCAGGAATAAGAATAAACCAAAAGATACTTGTTAAGAATATGAGAGATCAAGAGTGGCAGAAATTAATAGAAAGGACTGACTTTCACGAAGAGAAGAGAATCATACTTAGGGATTCAAATCACAAAGAAAACTAGTATATTATTTAAAGATAATTAAATGACGATAATAAAAAATAAAAATTTTATTTCAGACAATTCCCGTAATATTAAAACAGTAATTTTTCCAAGAACTTAATAAGATAATCATGAGATTTGTGTGACAAGGTAAAAAAACCAAGAATTAAAATCAAAGCAAAGCAAGATGCCAAACAAAGAGCAGGTTTTGGTCTCCCAGATTGGAGATTGTATTATAGAGCCTGTGTATTAGTCTGGATAAAGGAATGGA